GCGCCGCCCCTGCTGCCCTTCCAGGCGGGCTGGCTTTGCCTAAGTCGAGACAGTCGCGTCCAGGTGGACTGAGGGCCCTTCCTCTGCTTGCAGGGTGGATCACTGGAACAATGAGAAGGAGCGGCTGGTGCTGGTCACGGAGCAGTCACTGCTTATCTGTAAATACGACTTCATCAGTCTCCAGTGCCAGCAGGTGGTCCGGATAGCGCTCAACGCATAGATACCATTTCCTACGGAGAATTCCAGTTTCCCCCGAAATCGCTCAACAAGTAAGTCTGTTCAGATCCGGTATCCCTGGACGTAAGCGCCAGAGTGGACCTTACAATTCAGCCCTTTTAAATCAGCCCCCCAAGTGGCGTATCTTCTCTGCTATTATCTATAAGCATAAAAGCCCCAGCTCCAAATATCAATGGGAAGTTCCTTAAAAAGAAGCGACTTCTGGCAAACTGAGGCATAAAAGGAAATCTGGCACAGAAGGCAGCTATTAGGCTTGTAGTAAAAAAGATTTACATGAGTTCAAGATGCACTGAATAGAGCCCAACGTGATAAAAAGGAACTTGATGTTCTTCACGTAAAGGCCAAACTCTGCATTTTTTCTCCAAGCCAGGACAGATGCATGACACATCAAGTCTTGCTCTGGCTAATTTTTTAAAGAGAAAAGGAGGGTCCCATTTTAATTTATAGATACCATTAAAAGTTAGACAAATTTGGAAATATTTAATGACCAACTTTAAGGAGTTGATCTTTTTGCTGTAGGATAATTTTCTGAAATGTGAGGAACCTAGACATTACTACAGTCAGTTAAGCTGTAGAACTTAGATTTTTGATGGAGAGATTTGGGTGGGGAATTCAGGAAGCTAAAATAAAAATTTTAGCTTTTGGTTAATATTTTTATTTTAAAAATAAATAAAAATAAATTTATATTTAAAAATAAAATGTTATTTTTATTAAATGTTGGTTAAAATTTTATTTAAAAATTTTAAGGAACATTTAATATGACATAAGGGAAAGGAAAGTTACACTTGCTTTTCACTCATTTGGATAGCCTATCATTATTCCCTCTTTTTTTTTTTTTTTTTTTTTGAGACAGAGTCCCACTCTGTCACCCAAGCACCAGTGGTACAGTCTTGGCTCACTGTATCCTCCACCTTCTAGGCTTAAGTGATCCTCCCACCTCAGCCTCCCAAGTAGCTAGGACTACAGGTGCCTGCCACCAAGCCCAGCTAATTTTTGTAATTTTTGTAGAGATGGAGTTTTGCTAGGTTGCCCCGGCTGGTCTCAAACTCCTGGGCTCCCAAAGTGCTGGGATTATAGACATCAGCCAGTGTGCCCAGCCAGTATTCCTGTTTATTAGTTTTTAATCATGTAAAGATTACTAAAATGATATATTTAATAACCAAAATATATTTAATTTGTCATATTTATAAGTACAGTATTTAAAGCAATTGTTGAGATTGAAGTTACTCTTAAAAACCACTAGCCATTTTCCACTGTGATATGTCATAGGTCTTTTCTGTAAACGTGAAAGTGCTTTTTGCCGTCATCCTCTCCTAACTGATGAGACTGTCAGATTGTCCGTGGGAGCACTGTGGCCTGCCATGCTAAGTCTGGCTATTTCTTCTGACTTTTCAGGCGAGAAGGTTTTGGGATTCGAATTCAGTGGGACAAGCAAAGTCGTCCTTCCTTCATAAACAGATGGAATCCCTGGTCCACCAACGTGCCCTATGCCACTTTCACAGAACACCCGATGGCTGGCGCAGATGAGAAGACAGCAGCTCTGTGCCAGGTAAGAAGACGGGCATGTAATAGCCGCACCCCCGCAGTGACGGACACCCCCCGCAGTGACGGACACCCCCCGCAGTGACGGACACCCCCGCAGTGACGGACACCCCCCGCAGTGACGGACACCCCCGCAGTGACGGACACCCCCCCGCAGTGACGGACACCCCCCCGCAGTGACAGAAACACCCTCCCCAGCCACGGAGACACTCAGGTCTGCACTGTCCGGCGGCCACGCGGAGCTGCTGGGCACTTGAGACGAGGCTAGGAACAGAGAGGAAACTCTCATTTTAGAGTTTATTCCCTACTTTTTCAGAAATTCTGGTTAATTTATGTTAAAGTAGCCCTGTGCGGCCAGTGGCTGCTGGTCAGCCTAGCTCCGTTATGTGACCTCCTGATGGTGATCTGGGTGGAGAAGGGCCCCCACTGGGCTTCAGAGAGCGGCAGCAGACCCAGCCGTGCCAGATGACCAGGGCGGATGCATACCAGGAGAGGAGGCCTCGGGGCTGGGGTTAGAGCAGAGCCCAGAGCCTGGCGGGGGTCCTGTACTTCCCCAGCTCTGTGTCTCGGCCTATTTACTGACCTGGTAGGTTGGGTGAGGGCAAAGCCACTCAGCCCCTGTATACAGGAAGGGTTCTGCAGGTGCTGGCTGCCATTGGCTACAGAAGAGCATGGTGGTGAGATTTCCATACACCTAGAGAGCTCCATGGGGACGAGAGTTGAGGGACTGCCAGGATGTGGCAGAGGCAGCCCTTTCAAGTGAAGGGACGAAGAGAGAGGTGGCATTTGGAGGGATTTAAGTGTCTCAGAATGCTAATTTTTTCAAGTAATAGACGCTCTTATCTTGCCTGCCAGTTAAAGCTCCATGTTTTTCTCTCTTTAAAGTTGGAAAGCTTCAAGGCTCTGTTAATTCAAGCTGTCAAAAAAGCCCAAAAAGAAAGCCCTTTGCCAGGACAGGCGAATGGCGTGCTGATCCTGGAGCGTCCCCTGCTCATCGAGACCTACGTGGGACTCATGTCCTTCATTAACAACGAGGCTAAACTAGGCTACTCCATGACCAGGGGCAAAATAGGCTTTTAGCTGGCTGCATTCTGGGAGCTCCTCCCCGTCCCGAGAAGGCCAAGGGATGTGGGGGCTGGGGGACTGGGAGGCTTGGCAGTCTTCATGCCGCCCTGCTGCCGGCTGGAAGGATGGAGGTCTTTTACCTTTAGGGATCTCAGCACCATTAGAATAGCAAAGTGAATTCTATTTAATTGGATATGGGACTCTGCTAATACAGGCTACAGACAAAAGCCAAAAGACTGTCGCTGTCTCTGTGCTGCTGGTATTTCATCCTCTGTAACTTCAGTTCTGGTGTTTTCCTCGAGTATCTACTTGGCTTCTTGCGGTTTTTCCCACCCTCGCTGGCCCAGCACGCGGGACCCACAGCGCGCCCCTCAGCGCTCGCATAGGCTGCTAAAAACGGAGGCACCTGGTACCTCGAGTGCCTGCAGTTGCAAGTATGTTTACACTTGGTGTCCAGTTTTGTATTTTAAAATGTTCCATTTGTACTTCAGCTCATCTGAAATCAGCCAGCAGACCGGTTGACTAAGACCGGTCTGTACCTGTGGGCCCCTTGGTGACCCGCTGCTCTTTTGGAGATGGGTGACCTGAAGTCACAGTTTTTCCACAATTAACCCAAGTTGTGTTAATACTTCAGGTCTGTTTCCCAGACCCAGAAAGCTTTACAGAAAATCATTTTAAGACAATTTATTAATTTGAGAAAGTCACCTTGACAGTTCTTTGCACACAGGTTTTACAACTCTGGATTCTGAGTTTGGATTGTATTCATATTTAAAAGGGAATTGGGTGGTTTGCTTTTTGAATAATGCACTTTAAAACAAGGAACCGTGTCAGGCCAGCACAGTGGCTCACGCCTGTAATCCCAGCATTTTGGGAGACTGAGGCAGGCAGATCGCTCTAGCTTAGAAGTTGCAGAGCAGCCTGGGCAACACGGTGAAACCCCGTCTCTACCAAATATACAAAAAACAGCCGGGCGTGGTGGCGCGTCTGTGGTCCCAGCTACTCAGGAGGCTGAGCCAGGAGGATTGCTTGAGCCCAGGAGGCAGAGGTTGCAGGGAGCTGAGATGGCGCCACTGACTGCATTCCAGCCCGGGCAACAGAGCAAGACTCCGTCTCTCAGATCCTTATGAAGCAGCTGATGCCTGCCTTGATTCCTCAACAGCTCCAGCATAGACTCGGGGCTTTGTCCACGTCTCGCACTAAACATGCCCGGGCTTTGATGTGCCTGGAGGATTTCCCCACAGGGACCCACGCACCTCCCCGTATCTACACAGCTTGCTCATGTGGCTGGAAGCGCTGTTGATAAGTTTCACGTGCTGGCTCGCCAGCTCTGTCTCTAGACTTGTAGCTTTAAGCGAACGGTGTGGTGTGGGTTGAGTGTGGCCACCTGCGGGATGTGCAGGGCTGCCTCGGAAGCTGGCTGGGGACTCCAGCCTCTGTGTTCGTAAAGACATTTAGAAGCGGATGGATGTTTTTCCTTTTCTGAAGTTGGTATTAAAGTAGGTGCAACAACCAAGAAAGTGTGTCTTCCCTCTTTGAAAGCCTGCCCCATTTCTGCCAGCTCTGTGGGCCTGTGGGCCTGCTCTGCCTGTGCCACGAGGACTGCCTCATAGCAGTGCTGAGTATGGTTCTCTGCAGAGAGAGATGACGGTACGCAACAACCTAGGTTTGCAACTCTGAGCCCCCCACCTGTGGTGCCAAGCAAGCCTGGCTGCCTGCCGAGCACCAGCTGGAGAGACTGATGGGATGGTTCTGGGTGGTTCTAGGCACTTCTGCAAATAGCCAGGGTGGAGACCCACGCGCACTGGTTCTCAAACCAGAGTAGACGTGAGACTTCCTGAGGAACTGACTCAGTGGATCAGGGACCTGCAGCTCCGTCCTGAGGGGACTGGACCTGGGGTGGCGCTGCGCTCAGGTGCCAAGGCTCCCTTCCCACACTTCAAAGCAAACCCACTGTGGGGAGGCTGGATGTGCCCCACAGAGATCCCCCCTTGTCCTAACACATCCAAATAGAAAACCCAGAGCAGGCCGGGTGTCTGGCGGGAGCTCAGTGGCCCAGGGCTCAGTTACTGTAGGGCTGTCCATCTTCCCTAAGACTGACCAGAAACTCGAACCTAGAAAACCCGCCTGTGACCTAAATGTTTCGAGAAGAGAAGCAGTTGTATGAATCAGCAAGTGTTTACTTCAAATAATAATAACTCCAGTTTTATACCATACATATTTACAAAAATGCTTTGCTTTAGAAAAATAGAATCAATCACTGAATCCAGACCATCACAGGTGGAGAACTTCCTGGTGAAGCTCTGTTTTTTCCCACACTGGAAACACGCAGAGTAGCCCCTGTTTCTGCACGCACGTTACTGCACCACTGCTACGTGTGGCCGCCCAGCTGTCTGCAGGCCGTGCTGACCGATGCCTCCGTCTCCAGGAAGCAGAGGCAGACGTGATCCTTGCTGAGGAGGGCCATCGAGTCTCCGCTTAAATGCCAGCACAGAGAAAGCACTGCAAAGTCGCCTAGAGAGAGACAGGTGGCCAGAGGATTACAGCCGGAGAGGCCCAGATTCTGCGGGATGGGCACCCCCTTGTCCTGCAGGCCAGCACAGTGCCTGGAGTGACCCACATAGGCAGAGCCAGGGTGGAGCCCCAGAGCTGCCTCAAGTCAGGGAGAGGCTGCTTCTAGCCCATAAAGCTGAGGGCAGCAGGTCCCCTGTGTGCCAGCCTTGAGGTTTATGCAGACTCTGAGGGCTGGAGACAGCAGCTGGGCTTCAACAGCTCAGCCCGTGTGACGCCAGACTGCACAGAGCAAGCCTGCCACGTCCGTGGCCTCGGGGATGTGCTCACCTTCCCCAGGCACCTGCACCGACATGCAGCCCGCTGGGGACCACAGGTAGAGCCTGCTGCCTCCCGTGCAGATGGCCAGCCGCGGCTGCTGTGGGTCCCACTGAAACGTGCGCACTGGGGACAGCTGCTCGAGCACCGCGAACAGCCTCAGCTTCTGAATGTCCCAGACCCAGACGGCATTGGGGATGTTATCTGAGGAAGGAAGGACAGGGCACCGGTGTCATCCCTGCCTGAGTCCTCTGTGTCACCCTGCCCCTCGGCCCTGCCCCTCTGCTCTGCTGTTGACACCACAGGAGGGGAGGGGAAGAACCGGTGGGGTGGGGCGGCTCCACCCTGCAGTCTGGGTTCAGTTGGGCCCTGCAGGGCTCCTGGCCAGGGCCAGGATGGCCATCACTAACAAAAGACGGGCTGCAGTGTGCCCAGCCCTGCTTTCTACTCAGCAGAGCAGAGCAAGTGAGCGAGGCGGAGGCCTCCTGGCTCATGTGTGGGCCTGCAGCTGCTGCAGGACAGCAGGCCCAGCAGCTCGACTACTGCAGAAACTTGGAAGGAGGTGCTGTGTCCAGTTGCTTCTACACCTGGGGCCACAGGACACAGTAAGGGGCGAGACAGCACCCGCGTCAGCACAACTGACCATTCCTTGTCGCCAGGAAGTAGCTGTCAGGACTAAATGCCAGCATTCCTATGCCGATTTTCGGGTTTGCTCTGTCGGTAACAGGTTTCAGGGTCTGTAAGGAGACTGGGACAGAGGCGATCTCATCTAGAACACCAACAGAAGAACACGCCATCATCACCCTTTCAGGAAGTACGTACGCGGCTGAGAGGCTGCTGTGCCTGCATCAGGCACCACGAACCCAGCTCCTCTGTTCAAAGGGGAGGAAAGTGCGGCCCGAGGGCAGGAAAAGCTGAGCGGAGCCTGGCAGCTGCAGCGAGGGGCCTGCCTGCAAGTGCCCCAGATAAGAGTGGCACCATCACCTGCCAGGCCTGACTAGGTGGGGGGTGGACCCCACGTGCTGGGGGTGACTGGAGAGGAGCATGGACAGGTCCCAGCTGCAATGTCAGCAGCTCCAACTCCTCGGCAGTTTTCTGTCAACTGCCAGCATCTGAGTTCACAATCCCTTCCTTCCACCCCAGCATCAGTACCCTTAGACTTTCCGGCTGTGGGAAAACCATCATCACAGCAGAGGCAGGAGCTGTGGAACAAGGACGCCCCTGGGCTCCTGGGGAGCGCCTCCTGTGTGCCAGGCTGCACCTGTCCTAACCCGTCCTGAGCACACACCGAGCCCCGGGGTGGGTCCATCAGCCCTCGGGGCACCGTTTCCTCTACCTGCAACCTTCAGATGCCCTCGTGCCCCTGTGGGGTGAGTGCTTTTTCTGTGCCCATTTCAGTGATGCGGAAACACACATAGGAAATGCCCAGAGTCAAAAGGCTGCATCAGAATCGGGCCTCAAGCTGGAGACAGCGCTCGGGAGCACCGCCGGCCTCCAGACGCGCTCTGAGCACCACCCACGGAAAAGTGTTTCTTTGGAAAACATCCCCCTCGGAGCTCCCGCTGTCAGATCCTGGTCTCCAGGGCTCATATTCAGTAACAGAAGCCGCGCATTCATGGCCCACTACACAATTCAGACCTCAGTCAACCTCCAGCCAACAGGCTGAGGGGCACGCTGGCCGGAAGCACGGAAAGGAAAAAGCTCACTGCAAGCTCCGCCTCCCGGGTTCACGCCATTCTCCCGCCTCAGCCTCCCAAGTAGCTGAGACTACAGGCGCCCGCCACCACGCCCGGCTAGTTTTTTGTATTTTTAGTAGAGACGGGGTTTCACCATGTTAGCCAGGATAGTCTCGATCTCCTGACCTCGTGATCCACCCGCCTCGGCCTCCCAAAGTGCTGGGATTACAGGCTTGAGCCACCGCGCCCGGCCAGGAAAAAAATTTTTTTTTAAACATAAGGAACATCCGAAGTTTATCTGGACAATGAGGAATCTTGCATTAAAAAGGAAAACAAATGTCATCACAAGTGCTACTTACATTTACTCTCTGAGCTCGGGAGAGGGCCAGCCCCGGCCCCCGGGGGCGGGAAGGAGAGGCAGCCCAGCCCCAGCTGCGGGCTCTTCTCGGCCTCCTTATACACCACCTGAAAGACACAAGGTGGCCACGCCCAGCTCAGGACAGGGACCCGGAAGATGAGGATAGATGTGGCAAATGCTTGTGACGGCACATGGTCAACAGGCGTGCACCTGCCATGACACCTGGTCCTGCTGCCACTGGGAGAAAGAGACGGAAACACGAATCCCGCAGTCCCGAGAGCTGAGATCACCCAGCCACCCTCGCTCATGTCCTGCTGGGGAGCCCACCCTTATGAGACACAGGCAGCAAATGTGTGCCCTGTGATTATAGACGGGAGGCCACTGCAGCCACCATCATCCAGCAAGGGAACGGGCTTGGCCTTCTCCCCGTGATAAGGGGATACACAGAACACTTGCGCCAAGACAGCGGAGGCCCCAGGAGTGGCAGACACAGACCTGAGGTGGGGGCATCTGTGCCCCAGAGCCTGCCAAGCAAAGGACAGCGGCCTAGGCTCAGTGGAAGGCGGGCAGCCCCCGCGCCCCTGAAGAGCCCCAGGTAAGGCCGGGCGCGGTGGCTCAAGCCTGTAATCCCAGCACTTTGGGAGGCCGAGACGGGTGGATCACGAGGTCAGGAGATCGAGACCATCCTGGCTAACACGGTGAAACCCCGTCTCTACTAAAATATACAAAAAACTAGCCGGGCGAGGTGGCGGGCGCCTGTAGTCCCAGCTACTCGGGAGGCTGAGGCAGGAGAATGGCGTGAACCCGGGAGGCGGAGCTTGCAGTGAGCTGAGATCCGGCCACTGCACTCCAGCCTGGGCGACAGAGCAAGACTCCGTCTCAAAAAAAAGAGCCCCAGGTAAGGGAGTCACCTGGCCTGGTTCGTGCCTTTAAAGCTTGGCGCGCTCTGCTGCTGTGTGGCGAAGGGATTTGGAGAATGCCAGAATCGCAGGCAAACCTTCAGGACCTGTGTGGCCAGCTCTGCTCTGGCTCATCTGTCCAGATGCCCTGATCCTCCAGCCACACAAACCACTGGCCACATCAGGAGGCCCCTCTGCCTAAACACCCTTTCTGCCCAGACACCGTGCGGCTCCTCAGCTCCTCCTCCTGGTCTGCACTTAAACACCCTCTGGGATGCGTCCCCGTCTGTGGTTGATCTGGAATGCCCAGCCCCAGCCACTCACTGGCCTCTTCATCGAATCCAAGCCGCCTTTCACTCAGCTCTGCCGGTTGCAGGTCAACACCAGGAGGGCAGCATTGTCTCTGGCCCCCGACTGTCTTCCAGGGCAGTGCCCACCGCACACAGGCGCGGCAAGTGCCCACTGCACACATGGATGAGTGGCCCACTCCTCGGGGCCCTTGCACTTCCTATTCCCTTGGCCTGGAACGCTCCCTCCCCGAACCCCTGAACATTGGTTCAGCATCTGTGCCTGATCCCTCGCTGGTGGCCACTCCCTGCCACCCCATGGAGACACCCAGCTCTCCAGCCCCTTCCCTGTCTCTCCAGCCGCACTCTGCAGGTGCAGGTGTCTGTCTGTTCTCCTCTGGCTGTGGCCCAGAGCACAGGGCCGGGCACGACAGCAGATGCTCAGTGTCTGGGGGCAGGAGACCCCGACCACTCTGTACAGCACAGGGATCTGCATCCAGACAGACCACGAAGGAGACACCCGGGCTGCGGCGGCAGTGGCAGAGGACAGGCCAGGGCAAGGCCCACTTCAGACCCTCTGGACAGCGTGGAGGAGGAAGAACAAAGGCCGGGGCAGGGCCAGACATGTGAAATGTCACAGTAGCAAGTTTACGGTGATGGAAGTGCCCGGTTTAATAATAAACCACAATCAAGAAAGCAAAAGCTAAGGAGCGGTTTCCCACCGCCCTCCCCAGCAGCCTGCTCCGGCAGAAACACGTGTTCCAGACTTACTATCTTGGGATTATTAATGGTTGCAGGATGCCCAAACTCCGTGATCATTTTCCAAGTCACGTGATTAAGGATGCGCACCTGAGGAAAGAAGCCATGCACAGGTAAGGCAGGGCCCAGCCGGCTGGGCAGTCGGACTTCCTGAGTGCCCTGCACTGGTTCCCACCTTTCCATCGTAGCTCCCAACCGCCAGGAACTGACTGCTGGGGCTCCAGGCCACAGACTTGATGCCCAGGGACCACTCGTAAGCGCTGTACGCGGACAACAACCGGCCGTCCAGGGAGTACAGCAGAATCTTGTACTGCAGACGAGACATTTCCGTTAACGATGAATACGTCCCATTCGCCGGGAACACGCCACAGAGGTGGGTGCTGCAGAGCGACACTGGTGCAGACAGCACAAAGCTGGCAGGACTGTCCGCATGGCCGCGGAAAAGCTGAACTGCCAGCTAGAACTGAGACAGTCACTGGAGAGGCAGTGAGAGCATAAGAAAAAGGGGAAATTGGGAGGTCAACCTAATGGCTCGCTGATAAAAGTTCAACTCGGCCGGGCACCGTGGCTCAGGCCTGTAATCCCAGCACTTCGGGAGGCTGAAGCTGGCAGATCACTTGAACACAGAAGTTCAAGAGCAGTCTGGGCAACATGGTGAAACCCCATCTCTACAAAGAATACAAAAATTAGCCGGGCATGGTGGTGCACGCTTGTGGTCCCAGCTACTGGGGAGGCTGAGGTGGGAGGATCACTTGAGCCCAGGTCAAGGCTGCAGTGGGCTGTGATCACACCACTGCACTCCAGCCTGGGTGACAGAGCAAAACCCTGTCTTTTAAAACAAAGCTCAACTCGTTATCTGAAATAAGATAAAGCTAACTATATTGCAGCAGTCAGAAAGCATGAAATTCTGGGAAAAGCTCTCAAAAGCAAACACGTCACCTGGCCATCTTCATACCTCCAAGCAGGAGTCCCACACTGCCAGCACACAGCCGTTTGGGGCCCACTCGATCCCTGTGAGATCCTGGGTGTCCGTATCAAAATGCTTCCAAAGGAAGTGGGGGCAACATTAAATTTGGAAAATATTTTTGTAAATAAATAATTGCATTTATAACTTATGTTCTTAATGCACTTAATTTTCTTATATAGAAATGGACAAAATCTCAACAGCTCTATCTTGGAAATGCAGGAAATCCCTGTGGAGCTGCTGCTAGGGCTGCACCCCCCACAGGTGCCAGCATCAGTGCCTGGCCAGCCCACGAGGGCAGCTTGGTCTCCCCGCACCTGCACTCATGTGCACTCTCCCCGCTCACCTTTCCTTGCCTGGCCAGGCTCACTCCTTTAGACCCAGCTCAGACAAGTCCCTTCCAGAGCACTGCCTGGGTCCTGGGTTCTGTGCTCTGACAGCATTCCAGAGGTTGCTGTACCTTAACGATGGATTGTGCTGGAATCGTGTTCACATGTCCGCTGTGGGGGCACCTGGGCACCTGGCAGAGCGCCCTGCCTAACGCAGGCCCTCAGCCAAGGTGAACTTCCATGTCCTCCCCACTCCCGACGTGGCACACACATGCGCAAACACCATCACACAGGACAAGGAAAAGGGCTCAAATGTGACGGCATCTTCACTTTAAAAACACCCGGGCATGTGTCCTTTTCACCAAGTCTCCTGAACACACAACCGGGTGCCGCTGGCAGCGATTCACAGTGCACCTGCCCTTTGTTAATACAACATCACCTTGCTCCATATCCTACCAAAGATCCCCTGGAATCTGGAAAAGGATCTACTTCACTCAGTCCCTCCACAGTCAACCAGGACAACTTCATTCCAGTCTGGGGGACGCCTTACCCGCAGGAGCTGCCAATCACTGCAGACGAAGATGCTCACGTAATCTTGCAGTCGCGCCGTTCTGCCAGCGCCATGTAGCGGCCGTCCCTCGTGAAGGTGATTCCTGCAGGAAGAGGAAAATGCATTGAAATCAAGCGGCCACAAAATCAAGCAAGAGAAACCACAGTAGTAATTCAGAAGGAAGGAGGAGGAAGAGAAAGCAGAAGTGAAAAGAAGGGAAATGGCACAATGCCGAGCACTGCTCCTCAGAGAGGCGAGAACATTCTAGCGCAGAGGAGAAACCCCGAGGCACTGTGGCTTCACCCCTCACAACACAGTGCGTGCTGGGGGAGGGTTGTACACACACAGGAACTGGTTTGCAAGGCTCTGTGAAAAATACCAAGTGATGTGACCTCTGATTAATCACAAATGTGACTGAGAAACACAAGGCCTTCGAATTCCCCCATGGCTAAGCTGCGAGACACCCAGGGGTACCTCCAGCTGGGCAAAAGGTGGCTGTTTCCTGCCATGTTTATTTTACCTTTGAATTTAATTATTTGGAAGAAGTAAACTAAAGATGAAAATGTGTGGCCAGGCGTGGTGGCTCACGCCTATAATCCCAGCACTTTGGGAGGCTGAAGCAGGTGGATCACTTGAACCCAGGACTTTGAAAGGAGCCTGGACAACTTGGCGAAACCCCATCTCTACAAAATATCAGCCGGGTGTGGTGGTGTGTGCCTGTAGTCCCAGCTACTCAGGAGGCTGAGGTGAGAGGATCACTTAAGCCCAGGAGGTCAAGGCGGCACTGAGCTGTGATTGCGTCACTGCACTCCACCCTGGGTGACAGAGCAAGACCCTGTCTCAAAAAAATAATCATAAGATGAAAATGTGGAAGAAACTAGTTGAAAAATGTTAGACTCTATTTGCCAGTTCTGTATTAGCTTTAAAAGCCCAAGCCAGAATTCATCATTCATGAGTGAAGAGAATACCTCAAATGACAAAACCGTGGTGTCCACTCAAGAAATGTGTGTGTCTCATCTGGAGGGGTGCTAATATGGTGTCCACTCAAGAAATGTGTGTCTCATCTGGAGGGACGCTAATATTCCAACTATAAAAACGAAAAACAAGAGTGTGATTGCATTTTATTCAAATGCAATTTCCAAACCGCTGGCAGCAACAGAGAAGAATGAAAGCATCATTTCAACCATGTAGCGTTTCATCCCGTGAAAGACACTGCGTGTTGTTCAGGACTCAGGAGTGGCGCCTCCCACTAGCTCTGCACTGTCCAGTTAGACGCGCTGGTGGTGGGCCACCCTGAGCCGGCCCCCTTTCTTCCAGATGGCTCACAGACTTCCACAAGGAAGGGACACTGGTCACATATCCCTCCGGGATGCCCAGAGATGACGGCAAGACCTCCTGCCTTCGCAGAGATCATATTTAGTCCACAGAAGAGAGAAAGCTCAGAACTGAATGTCTGAGGTGGGCCTCTCGACAGGCATCGGCTGGAAGGGGTCTGAACGCCCAGCTCTGCCACCAAGGTCAAGGAGACTGGCATCAACGCCACTGTTCTTCCACGTCTTAAGCCACATTCTCTTGAGTCACTGTGGTCATGTTTTAAAAGGGGACTCTTGCCTTTCTGAGACACGCATGGAAATATTTACAGATGAAGCATGAGGAGACCTAAGACCTACTTCAAAATAGCCCAAGGGGTGGGTGGATATAGGGAGAAGCAGACGGGCTATGCGTTGATATGCTGTCGGTGGGGTGGGTATAGAGACAAACAGATGGGCTATGCGTTGATATGCTGTCGGGGGGGTGGGTAGAGACAAACAGACGGGCTATGCGTTGATATGCTGTCGGCGGGGTGGGTAGAGAGACAAACAGATGGGCTATGCGTTGATATGCTGTCGGTGGGTGGGTAGAGACAAACAGACGGGCTATGCGTTGATATGCTGTCGTGGGGTGGATATAGAGACAAACAGACGGGCTATGCATTGATATGCTGTCGGCGGGGTGGATATAGAGACAAACAGACGGGCTATGCGTTGATATGCTGTCGGCGGGGTGGGTAGAGACAAACAGACGGGCTATGCGTTGATATGCTGTTGAAGCTAATTCTGCCTACTTGAAACTTCCCGTGACAAAAAGTCAAACAGCTGCAAAGAAATGGCTTTTGCGTAGCTCCGATCGACTCACCCTGCAGACAAGCTTTTGGGTATTTGATGTAAGATACGGATTTTGTGCACAAGGACCAGACGGTTATCCGCAGCTGTTGGGGGAAAAGGGAAAGAGAAAGGAAACACTTCCTTAGCATCATTAGAGACTGTCTCAATCCTCACCTGCCCAAGCATCCCCAAGTACAGGCCTGACTGCTGGAGTGGATCTGTCAGGACCTGGGGGATTCCTACCCTCCTACTGGAATATTCAAATGCATATTTTACTGTGGTTAAGGTAAATTTAGTGCTCTTGGTTTTCTGTTGTTGTTGTTTTATACCAATATTGAGTGACACAAAGTTAAATCGAAGTGCATTTTCATTAGCTTTTTCAAAGTGACCACAGGTTGCAGGTTAAAATAACCCTGAGTTACTTAGAGAAAAATCTTATCTAGAAACTACCACGTTAGGTCTCCTTTATGGGAAGACAGAGGATGTGGAAATTGGATGCTGCCGCTCCGGGACTCACAGGGGCTGTGAGCCTGCATCTGCAGCCCTGAGGCAGGAGCAGTCACTCAACACCCAAGAAGGTGGCCGCCCACCTCCTGCACGTGCTCGCTGGCCCGGCTGCATCTGCAGAGGGTTCTAGAACATGCGCTGCTGGACTGTCCACCTTTCCACCCCTTTCCCTGACTCAGGGAGCTGAGAGCCGACTAGACTGGCACGGTGAGGCCAAAAGATGATTTCCTAACCAGGCCAATGAGGCCGTGCCCGCTGGGGGACAGGCACCGCAGTAGGTGGTCCGGCCCTCCCCGTGGCAGCGCCGCGGGACTTACAGGGCTACCGCGTCCCTCCACCTACATTTCCCACTGAGACGCTGTGGAGCCCACCAGGGAATCATCATGCTTCCCACATACCCGGCCCACTGATGAATCTGGTAGTTAACTGAAATGTGGCCCAGGTGTGGAGACACAAGGTGTGGGGACACAAGGTGCAGGGACACAGGGCTGCGCAGCTCCGTGCGGGGTGGGGTGCTGACCGCCAGCTCCGTGTGCAGGAACACAGGGCTGCGCGGCTCCGTGCGGGGTGGGGTGCTGACTGCCAGCTCCGTTGCGGGGGCGTGACAGGGCTGCGCGGCTCCATGCGGGGTGGGGTGCTGACCGCCAGCTCCGTGTGCAGGGGGCGGGACACAGGGCTGCGCGGCTCCATGCGGGGTGGGGTGCTGACTGCCAGCTCCGTGTGCGGGGGGCGTGACACAGGGCTGCGCGGCTCCGTGCGGGTGGGGTGCTGACCGCAGCTCCGTGTGCAGGAACACAGGGCTGCGCGGCTCCGTGCGGGGTGGGGTGCTGACTGCCAGCTCCGTGTGCGGGGACACAGGGCTGCGCGGCTCCGTGCGGGGTTGGGGTGCTGACCGCCAGCTCCGTGTGCGGGGGGCGGGACACAGGGCTGCGCGGCTCCGTGCGGGGTGGGGTGCTGACCGCCAGCTCCGTGTGCGGGGGGCGGGACACAGGGCTGCGCGGCTCCATGTGGGGTGGGGTGCTGACCGCCAGCTCCGTGTGCAGGAACACAGGGCTGCGCGGCTCCGTGCGGGGTGCGGTGCTGACCGCCAGGTCCGTGTGTGTCAGGCAGGGGCCCTCGGTGAGGATGAGGCCCGGGGTGGGGACCGCCTCCAGCAGTAACTGGAGCCACACGCAGCGTGTAGCATCGCGTGTCCACAATGTCACTCCTCCAAACGCTGCCAGGTTTTCAGTATAGGATATTAACAAATGAATTAATTTAAATGTCTACGCATCATCTCTTCTTACAAGAGAAAAGAAAATCCGATGTCTGTAACTGTGTCTCCAAACAACATACACGGCGTTCAGGAGAAAGTCCTGAACACACAGGTAGTGGATCCACAAGCTCCAGGGGTCACCGTGGCAGCACGGCAGGGCTCCAGTGCTGATGCTGAACCCGAAACACACTGGCCCTTCTGGGACTGGTGCCTCGGAACTCCAGCTGGAGGGAGCACTTGCTCCTCTAACAGCTCCACAAGCTGAGGCCAAGGAGGGTGCTGGGGCCTGAGCGAGGAAGCGTGCTACTTCCCACCAGCGTGTCTGAGGCTGAAACCCTGCCCAAGCCGCTCAGCATCAGCAGGGCAGGGTGGAGCGCCCGAGCCTCTGGACATCAGGAGCGTCCTTGTGCCACCCAGGGCAGAGACCCACAGGGCGGGGTGGAGCGCCCGAGCCTCTGGGCATCAGGAGCGTCCTTGTGCCATCCAGGGCAGAGACCCGCCTCCAGAGCCCACTGCAGAGTCACAGGAGAAAAGCACATCTCCCACCCATAGCCCTGCATCCCCGTGGGGTGCGCCTGGCTGAGGCTGCCCACTCAGGCACATCTTAGGAAACGCACGGAGCACTTTAAGCCTCATTTTTACCTTCATCTCCCACAAAAACCAACAAAAAACCTTTCAAAGATAACTGTTTGCAACTTTAAAAAACCCAGTAAGAAAAAAAGGTGGTTAAATATACACCCTCATCAGCGCTGTTACCTTCCCCTGAGCACTGGAGAAGCCAGCAGAGACTCATGGGATGGGCTCCACAGCGCCCAGCAGCAGGAAGAGAGAACCAGGGATCCACACCACGACCCAGTGCACTCAGGAGGGAAGGAATGGGCTGCTGATCCACGCTACGACCCAGTGTGCTGAAGATGGAGGGAACGGGCCACGGATCCACACCACAACTCAGCATGCTCGGGTGAGAGGAACAGGCCACGGATCCACGCCACAACTCAGCATGCTCGGGGTGAGAGGAACGGGCCACGGATCCAGGCCACAACTTAGCATGCTCAGGGTGAGAGGAATGGGCCACGGATCCACGCCACAACTCAGCATGCTCGGGGTGAGAGGAACGGGCCACGGATCCAGGCCACAACTCAGCATGCTCGGGGTGAGAGGAATGGGCCACGGATCCAGGCCACGACCCAGCACACTCAAGATGGGAGGAATGGGCCACGGATCCAGGCCATGACCCAGCACACTCGAGATGGGAGGAACAGGCCACTGATCCATGCCACAACCCAGCACTCTCAAGATGGAGGAACGTGCCACCGATCCACGCCACGACCCAGCACACTGAAAACCAGCCAGGCGCCAGGGGAAAGGAAGCAGACGCACAGGTCCACGCACCACGGCTCTGTGCAGATGGGATTCCAAGAAGGTAGTGCTGCTCGCCCCACAGCAGGTACCCACTGCCGGGCACAGGTGGGAGACAGACTGAGCACAAGGGGCACCAGCAGCCCCGCACCATGGAGTGAACAGCCTCGGTCCTGATCATGGTGGCAACAATGTGCAAAGTGACTCACTCAACTATCCTCTTAAAGTGGGTGAATTTTATTGCTTATAAATTGTTTTAATTGCCTTTATTCAGATATAAGAAAAAGTTTTCAGTCTGGATGTATTTTTAAAGCTAACTATAGGCTATTTACAACACACTCAAGTTTAAGGATGTAGAAATGTAGAAGGTAATAGGATAGAAAAAGACATTTCATGAAAATCCTAACCAAGAGAAAGGTGGTACTGCCGCATTCGTACCGGAAAAATCAGACTCTGAAACAAAAAGAACCATGAGACAGAAAGAGGAATACTTTACAACAAAAGGCTTGGGCCACCGTGAAAGCATGAAAACTGCTTCACTAGGAAATCTGTTTACAAACAGTTAAAAGTTTGTAGGCAGCTAACAACAAAGTCTCAAAAATACATTTAAAAATCTGGCAGAGTTGGGTGTACTGTTGTGCACCTGTAATCCCAGCTATACAGGAGGCTGGGAAGGAAGGATTGCTTGAGTTTAGGAGTTCAAGACCAGCCTGGGAAACAAAGGGAGACCCCAACTCTACAAAAAAAAAATTTTTTTAAACCTGACAGACTACAAGAGCAATGAAGAGAAATCAGTCCTAGCAGATATTCAAACATACTACAGAACCTCAATAATGTAGACAGTGTGGCGTTGGCACATATATGGACCGACAGTGGACCGGAATGGAAAACCAGAAACGATCCTGCAGGTATAACGGAATTGAGTTCCTGCTATAGCTGGTGAAGATAGTCTTCTAAATAAATGCTGCTGGGAGCCAGGCGCGGTGGCTCACCCCTGTAATCCCAGCACCTTGGGAGGCCAAGGTGGGCAGATCAACTGAGGTCGAGAGTTTGAGACCAGCCTGACCAACATGAGAAACCCCATCTCTACTAAAAATATAAAATTAGCCGGGCGTGGTGGCGCACACCTGTAATCCCAGCTACTTGGGAGGCTGAGACAGGAAAATTGCTTGAACCTGGGAGGCGGAGGTTGCAGTGAGCCTGGATCGCACCACTGAACTCCAGCCTGGGGTACAAGAATGAAACTCTGTCTCAAAAAAAAAAAATGCTGCTGGGAAAAGGTAGAAATGGATTCAGACCCCACACTGTGCCCCACCATAAACTCCATGTGAACCTGCTTCATTTAAATGGAGCATGTGTGTGTGTGTGTGTGAGCGCATGTGTGAGCGCATGTGAGTGTGAGCACACGTGTGAGAGTTAGCACGTGTGAGCGTGCATGTGAGCGCATGTGTGAGTGCGTGTGTGTGAGCGCACGTGTGAGAGTAAGCGCGTGAGGGTGTGTGTGAGTGCATGTGTGATCATGAGCACGTGTGAGCGTGTCAGCACACGTGTGAGTGAGCGTGTGTGAGCGTGAGTGAGCACGTGTGAGCGCATGTGTGAGCACGTGTGTGTGAGCGCATGAGCACGTGTGTGAGCGCATGTGTGAGAGTGAGCGTGTGTGTGAATGCATGTGTGAGCGCGTGTGAGCACACGTGAGTAAGCGCATGTGTGAACGTGTGTGTGAGCGCGTGAGCATGTGTGTGAGCATGTGTGTAATGAAACAAGATAGGAAAGCACTCAACCTCACCAATAATTAGGGAAATGCAAACTAAATCCAAACTGCAGTATCATTTAGTTGCCTGGATGGAATCATTGTAATCCTGCCACAAAAGCCTTGGCAAATGAAACCTCTCCATCTGCTACGGCCAAGCAAGGCTCTCCTAGAGAGGCTCTCTGCATATGTGCCCAGGAGACGTGGACAATACATTCACAGCCACACCGTCCGTGGAGACACACACGTCCAGCAGGGAAGGACTGAATGGCGTTCCTCACAAGGAAGGGAAGGCCCAGCGATGCCTGTCAACACGGAGGAGTCTAAAAACAGTGACGTGAACAAGCAACAGCAGAGACTGCAAAGTACGAGCCCCTATAAATCAACTTTACACTGCACACCAAGCAATGTGGTGTTTAGACACATCTATATAGTGAGACTCAAGAACAGTGAGGATGTGACTCACGCAAGATGCAGGACAAAGGTGCCCTCGGGTGGGGAGGGCATTGCTACGAGGGAGAGCAGGGCTCTGAAAGCATGGCGGTGTTCCACTGCAGGCCTAGGGGTGAGCTGCTTTTGATGACTCACTGAACCTTGTCTAAAGGGCGCAAGCTTTGCCTTTTCACGTTAAAGTGCAAGAGGCAGGGACATCTCTCATGCTCCACGACACCCTCATGTGGGGCGGTGCCTTCGGAAGGGGACCCAGTGGCCCCGTTAAGCCCCGGACAGGGGCGGTGCCTTCGGAAGGGGACCCAGTGGCCCCGTTAAGCCCCGGACAGGGGCGGTGCCTTCGGAAGGGGACCCAGTGGCCCCGTTAAGCCCCGGACAGGGGCGGTGCCTTCGGAAGGGGACCAGTGGCCCCGTTAAGCCCCGGACAGGGGCGGTGCCTTCGGAAGGGGACCCAGTGGCCCCGTTAAGCCCCGGACAGGGGCGGTGCCTTCGGAAGGGACCCAGTGGCCCCGTTAAGCCCCGGACAGGGGCGGTGCCTTCGGAAGGGTACCCAGTGGCCCCGCTAAGCCCCGGACAGGGGCGGTGCCTTCGGAAGGGGACCCAGTGGCCCCCGCTAAACCCCAGAGATGGGGTCGTGCCTGCAGAAGGGGACCCAGAGGCCCCGCTAAGGCCTGGACATGGGGTGGTGCCTTCAGAAGGGGACCCAGTGGCCCCGCTAAGCCCCAGAGAACGGGCCTGGTCCTCGCTCTTGTGAATGAGACTGATGGATGGTGGCTGCAGGCTCCCTTCCTGGCCAGCAGACACGTCTGGAATTCCGGTTTTGTTTCCTCACTTGCAGTCATTTAAGTTTGCATGCAAAGTTGGAGACACATTTTGATATCTTGGTCAAGATGCCCCGTGCCATGAGGTTACCAGTCCTCGTCCACCACCTGGTCTTAACGTTTCCTCTAAGGCCACCAGCAATGTGGTCATGACCTTAGTCTTAGCTGGAACAATGTCATCTAAACGTACTCTATGAAAAATCAGCAGCAAAGGTGTTTTCAATATTGGTGTGTGTGACATGAGGCTCAACGAAACCAGGTTTTCATACAGCTTTTAAGGTTTCTAAACTCCATAGATGGTAGTTTTCCTTCTGGGCCATTTAATAAGAGAATACAGCAAGGCTGACCCCATGCCGTGAGCCTTCTGGAGGACAGATTTGGGCCCAAAGCATTACAGGCCTGAAGACTGTTAGACTCAGCTGCATGAAAAGCTCAAATTATCCTCTCTGAAAAACTCGGGCTGAAGGTGTCTTCCAATGTCAATACATAGTGCGGAGACGTAGGTGGGCCTTTGGTTCCTGTCTTATTCTCTGACAGCCCATAATAGCAGACATCAGATTTAGAATGTTTTTTAAAATTTAAACTGAAAAAGATGTAAACCCATCCAGCCATCTGAAGCAGTTGATTCAGCAACCCCTCATGGCCAGATAAAACTTTATCACAGCCGATGCCAGCTTGAAAAAAGTCGAATGAAACCCTACAGGGCGTCTGCAGCCTCACGCTGGGAGAAGTCCTCCCAAGTGCCATCAGCTACGTGGTGTGCGCAGCGCATTGGGACGGCGGGTTTCCTTGCAGTGTGCGCGGCGCAGCGGGACGGAGGGTTGCCGAGGTGCAGCCAGCAGCCCAGACGGCTACGAGCACTCAGTGGACTTGGGCCGAAACACCGGGATCTAACCCCATCAGAAAAGCACATTATTAAAGAGATTCGTGCATTTTTCTGTATCTTAAAAAGACACTGCGGGCACCAAAGACCTGGTATCTAAACACTTGACATATGCCTAATTTTAACTTAAAATGCAGTTTCCTATCCCAGATCCCTCTGATTTACTCTCGGATGTCAACATTCCCCTCCGCATGGAGGCTGGTGTGCGGTACCTACAGCAGGTGAATCAGCAGCTGCCGACGCCCGGAGCCACCCCCAAGACCTGGCTCCTGAAGGAAAATTACGAGCCGGCTTATATCACAGGGCATTTTCTATCGCTGAATAGGGACTGCCAAAATCCTAAAAAGTCTAAATTAAGATTTTAAAAATTTTTTCTTTAAAACTGGACAAAAGATCAGACAATAATACTTAATGGCTTATAATGTTCTGACCTAAAATATACACACCACTATATACGCTCCCGGCCCCCCTCCACCCCCCTAATCTATCAGCCACTCAGGAGCCACCTCGGTCATCAGACCCAGGGCAGCAGACAGTGTCTGTGTTCATGACACCCTTATCTGACTCAGTAACAGCCTAAAGCATGGGCAGTGGTGCTGGCCATCTGGATATGCCAAAGAAAAGCCGCAAAGTGCTTCCTTTAAATGAGAAGCTGAAAGTTCTTGACGCAACAAGGAAAGAAAAAAACAATCCTATGCTGAGGTTGTTGCTAAGATCTTCAGTAAGACCAAATCTTCCATCCATGCAATTATAAACAGTATATTGTCATCCTTGTTCTATATGATTATTGCTGCTAATCTCTAACTGTATCTAATTTATAAATTAAATATACCACAGGTATGCTGTAGAGGAAAAAACATAGGAAATACAGGGTTTGGTATGATCTGAATCCCCTGGTGGTCTTAGAATGCATCCCCTGGGGATGAGCAGAGACTAGCACACTCCAAACATCCCCTCGCACACTCCCCGGCTGTTTTGGGAGCAGAGGACAGGATCACACGGCCAGTGAGGTGCCTTGAGGCTGACACTTACATGGAATTCCGTGGTGTTGAGAATGTGGCGCCCGTCCGGGCTCCAGCACGAGGCCACCAGCCCGGCCGAGCCCTCGTCTATTTTGCAGTGCCATTCGGGCTGCTCTAAAGACCAGACCTGGATTGAGAGAAGAAAGAAACACACAAGTGCGAACTCATCAGCACCTGACAGCGAGGCCTCGCCGACAGACAGCTGGCTTAAAACCAACGGAGACCCAATCGCACAGGGTGTCTTACAACCTTTCATGATGAAGGGCTGGTACTGGGTTCCACTGTAAAAGTAAGCCACGCTTCTTGGTGATTTCATTTCGTTGTCGTTTTAAAACAGTTTATTCACATTGTCATTCCTAAGACCTCATTTAGTTAAGCTCTGGACACATAAGAAAACATGACTTCTTAGGACTTCCTGAAACACACCATGTCCGAGTGGCTAGACTGCTGTCTGTCAACACCTCCTGCTTCTCAACTATATTGCTTAGAAATTAAGACTACGTTAGTTTCCTTAGTTTAAGTGTTCTTGAACTTCAGAGAACATTATAATTTTTTTTTTTTTTTTGAGACGGAGTCTCGCTCTGTCGTCCAGGCTGGAGTGCAGTGGCTGGATCTCAGCTCACTGCAAGCTCCGCCTCCCGGGTTTACGCCATTCTCCTGCCTCAGCCTCCCGAGTAACTGGGACTACAGACACCCGCCACCTTGCCTGGCTAGTTTTTTGTATTTTTTAGTAGAGACGGGGTTTCACCGTGTTAGCCAGGATGGTCTCGATCTCCTGACCTCGTGATCTGCCCGTCTCGGCCTCCCAAAGTGCTGCAAACGTGCTTTGAGCTGCGCTGACTTTTTTTTCCAAACTAGAAAGGCACAGAAAAAAACCCTCCTTCCAAGTGGCACTCAGAAGGTGTCCACATTCTAGGCGACGCAGCAGCACACACCTGCACCAGCCCTCGCTTGTACATGGCGCACAAGATGAAGAGTGAGTCGGCTGACCACTCGATGTGCTGGATCTGGTCTAGGCACGTGTACAGCTGAAGGATCTGAAGGGTGTTCACATCCCGGACCACTAACCGGTACTGGACACAGGAAGCCTAAAAAATACGAGAAAGCAGGCACCTGACATTCTCCACTCCAAAAGAGGGGGGCCTTCGGAACGCTACTGCCCCGGCCTTCAGTGACTGTGGCCTTGTCTCCTGCCAGAGGTTTCACGTCTAGATCATCAGTGACATCCCCAGCCCCTAAAGATCAGTTCCTACAAGGGTAATGTTGAAATATACAAACCAGGATTTGTTTTGTTTTTTTTTTTGAGACGGAGTCTCACTCTGTTGCCCAGGCTGGAGTGCAGTGGCGCGATCTCCACTCACTGCAAGCTCCGCCGCCGCCCGGGTTCATGCTATTCTCCTGCCTCAGCCTCCCGAGCAGCTGGGACTACAGGCGCCCGCCACCACGCCCGGCTAATTTTTTTTTTGTATTTTTAGTAGAGACGGGGTTTCACCATGTTTGCCAGGATGGTCTCGATCTCCTGACCTCGTGATCCGCCCGTCTCGGCCTCCCAAAGTGCTGGGATTATAGGTGTGAGCCACCACGTCTGACCAAAGTATGTTTTAACTCGCCACTTAAAGCTAAGACATTTTTAAGTCCCTTCTTAACTGTATGTCAAAACTAAACTTACATGGGAAGTAGCATTGAGAAAAAGCTCTTCTGTGAACTAATAACCAAAATCCTCTCCTAGTTTATAAACACTTTTAGACAATTTCCTCAAATTTATAAAGGATAAGAATCAAGGCTTCCCAGTTCACAAGGAAAATGGCAAGGAACACCTCAATCCTCTTATGCAGTGCCGAACTCAGAACCAAAACAACGGAAGGTCAAAAGACAGGCTTTCACTTCTGCACAAGTAAAGACACCTCATATAATGCTCATTTATCTCTGTTAACCTATTCCTAATACAAAACAGGAAATGTTTAAGTGTTAGCACTATTTTCTTTTTTTGTTGTTGTTTTTTTTTGGTTTTTTTTTTTTTTTTTGAGACGGAGTCTTGCTCTGTCGCCCAAGCTGGAGTGCAGTGGCGCCGATCCTGGCTCACTGCAAGCTCCGCCTCCTGGGTTCACGCCATTCTCCTGCCCCAGCCTCCCGAGTAGCTGGGACTACAGGCGCCCGCCCCCTCGCCCGGCTCATTTTTTGTATTTTTAGTAGAGACAGGGTTTCACCGTGGTCTCGATCTCCTGACCTTGTGATTTGCCCGCCTCGGCCTCCCAAAGTGCTGGGATTACAGGCGTGAGCCACCGCGCCCGGCCTAGCACTATTTTCTTAAAGATAGTTTCTTCATGTCCATATTTGTTGATTATGTCCCTATCTAAGCAAACAATTTCAAGTATAAATAACACCTGAGTACTCACCTGCTGATTGTATATTATACTACAGTCTAAAGATCAAGAACTGATTTTTAAATGTTAACTGCTTCGTTAGTTTTACTTATCAAGGTCAAACTAGTTTGTGTTTTATGAACTGATACCAAAAGAGAAAGCCACATTAGTTTTCCATCGGAAAGATGAGAGACGGGCGGGTGATTGCAGATTGGAACAAGCAGCTATCGCAGCCCTTACTTTCTCACACTGTAGCTTTGAAAACTGTGATCAGTTACAGTGAATTCCTTATGACATGGAATATTTTTACCAACACCTTGAGGAACCATATAAACTCTACTGCAAGACACTAAAACGAGAAGCATGGACCTGCTCTCCCCAGTCCTCAGGGCTTTCAAGAAGATGCCAGTAACAGATCATTACCAAGTGTTTCAGGGTATTTTGACCAGAGCGTAGGAGCCAGAAAAAACACCCAAGTTAGGCAAGCAAATGTACTCTTTCTCCTTATAATTCACTGAAATTTTCACAAATGGTAAAAACAAAAAACAAACCTCTAATTTAATTGGGGAGGGGGCACGTTGAAAAATATACCAAGGCTGAGGTGCCATTTAAACTGATGAGGTTTTCTGTTTGGTAGCTGATGATATTTTATGTGATTTGGAATAAAACCTCCATGAAGAGGTAAAAACGTAATTTGAGAGTTAAACTCTCAAAGGCTAGACAGAGCACAGGACTGTCAGGGGAGGCAAAACCTGAAAAAGCATCCTGACGCATCAGTCAGTTAGCAGAGGTGGTGGATAAAGAAAATGAATCCCACTTTTTAGGAGGCATGTTTTTTCTTAGTGGCTTTCCAATGCCAATTATCCCCCTTCTGAGGACCTGTGTACTCGGCATCTGGGTTATCCCCCTCTTCTGAGGATATACACTACTAGGCATCCAGGTACATACACTGTATGTTTTGAAGCTTAAAAGTTATAGCTCTGTGATTTAAGCACCTTTCTGCCACCCATGGAACAAAGACCTCAAATCCCAGCCATGAGGACAACTGTTTCCCTACCTGGGGATAGGATACTAGCATTTAAATCATTTATTCGGCATGTGGTAGAGGAGAAGAGAATTAGAGGAGAAGTAGAGATGACAAAGTAGCCACACCACTTACCAGTTTACAGGCAACAGAATGATCAATTTGCCTTTTGTGACAAAATAACAACAAAGAGCCGACATGTCCTATACCGTCACCTGTGTGCAGTCGGCACTGCAGATAACCACCTTTCCAAGGGCACCTCCCCAGACCCCCCACCTGCCTAGGGTATCTTCCTGGGTCCCGCACCTGTCTGGGGCACTTGCTCAGGCCCTGCGCCTGCCCCGGGTACCTGCCCGGGCCCTGCACCTGTCCGGGCACCGCACCTGCAGGATCCCCGAGCTGCCTCCACCCCTGGGCCACGCGGCCGCCCCCGGCCCTGCCCGCCGGGGACGCTGGCACCGAGGATGTCCTGCCCGCGGCCCAGGTCCCCGCCGCTCACCAGGTACTTGCCGTCCGGGGAGAACTTGCAGAGCAAGCTGGAGAGCTTGAACACCTCGGAGAAGTTCATGGCCGCCGCCTGCCACGGGCGCCACCCTGCGCCCGAAAACCCGCGGGACCCCTGGACGCGCTGGAGTTCGCAACCGCCTCCGCCGGCCTCCGAGGCCGGAAGTCAGAAAGTGGAAGTGAGCTGCAGCCTATCAGCGCCGCAGGGGGCCGCGCAGCATTGTGGGGCTTGTAGTTCTTATACCAAAGGGCTGTAAGGGAAACGCCCACGTTTCTTCCGACCCGGGCTTTCTGACCAGAGAACCTTACCTCAAGGCCGGGAGGCCTTGGGGTCCTCTCCAGCTAGGGCTGCGGATAAAAATGTAGAAAGCATAGTAAAATTTGAATTTCAGATTAACAGCAAATCGCTTTCTAGTTATAGGTATGTTCCTAAATATTGCAAGGAACATGCTAATACGGAAAAATTACTCGCTAATCTGAAATTCAAATTTAATTGGGCGACCTGTGTGTCTGCGTGTGTATACACATGCATATATATTTATATTTATATGTAAATGTATGTTTACATGTAAATATATGTTTGCATACAAATAGATCTTTAATATGTAATACGGTGTCTGTCGCACATATATTATATCGTGTATGTAATGTATAAGTATTTATTTCGTTTGCTTGGGGTTTTGTTTGCTTTTGCTGAGTCCGGCCCCGCTACCTGCCTCCTGGCCCTTGCCTCACGCTCCAGTGCCACTGAGATCAAGGAGAGAACGAATTTGCCGCTGACTGGGCGAAGTGAGCGCGTGGATCGCGGGCACCGCCAGTGCCTCACCCGCGCGCATCTGGGCTGGCACCGGGCGAAGAATTGTGCGGGTCCGGGACCTGGGGGCCCAGCTGCAGCCGCCCCAGGCACCGGAGAGCGAGCTCCTGCGCGGGCGAGCGGTCCGCAGGTCTCCCAGGCTCAAGGCCGTGCCTAGTCCTCTCCCCTACTCCGGACCCCGGTCCTCTTCCCTAGACAGCGGCCCCCTCCACCCCTGGCTCCGGCAGGCCGCTAGTAGTCCGCGCCAGGCCCCGCCGGCGCCTCTAGGGCCCCCCAGACGCACAGACCCTGTCATCCCCGCCTGGCCCTGGGTTCTGGGAGCTGAGAGCCGGCCAGGGTCTTGCTCGCACCTCCGGGCGCCCAGCCTCGGGTCTGTTCCCCGCGGACGCCCCAGCCTCCCCGGGGGAATGGATGGTGGTGCGCGCGCGTCCTACTCTGGCGGTGCCGGCCTTTTCTATTCCCTACTGGACCCAAACCCCTGCATGGGATTCGTCTTTGTGTCCCCACCCCGTGCGCCCAGCAAACAGTGGGTGAGCCATAAAGATGTGCGGAAGTCAGCCGGACCCTCCCGGTCAGGCGCGGACCTGCTGCGGCCAGAGAACCCAGTCTGCACCAGCCCGGCTAGCTCGAGACGCCTAGGGCTTCACTGACGCCACCTTCCAAGACGTGGGGGTAACCATGGGCAGAGGGCATCGGTTCGGAGCCAGATCACGGGCCCCGTAAGCATCAGACCATAAACACGCCGCCACTGAGAGCCGCTCGGAACTCGCCCAGCATGTCCGGTCCCCTAGCCAGGGCCTGGTGTACGTGGTCTAGGGCCCTGGAAGCCCCAGTGGCCTAGGAGGAGCAGGCAAGCGGGACGGCGTGTGCCGCCGGCCGGGAGGGAGTCTCGGCCTGACCTAGCGCGGGTCTGGTGCGCGCAGAGAGCAACTCCAAGCGCACCGACGCCCGCGAGCTCCTTCCAAACACCGGAGGGGATCCAGAGCCCGAGCCCACAGGCGGCGGCCGGGGAGGGAGCAGGGTGCTGGCCGCCGCCCGGTAGTGTTCGCGTCCTGAGTGACCCCTGGAAGGACATGGGGCCCAAACTCCGGCTGAGGTTGGGAGAGCAGCCCCCAGAGGTCTCCGCGGGATCCTCTGCGGGGCGGGACCGCGGCTCCACAGGCGGAGTGGGTGGCAAGCCCTGCTTGGCGGACTGCAGCCGTTCCCCTCCTCCCGGCCCTGGAGCGGCGCCCCTCACCCCTGTTCCGCGCCCCTCACCCCTGTTCCCCGCCGGCCGCATCCCCTGCCCCCTGGATTCCAAGCGCCCCGCGCGCCGAGGGGCCCAGCGCCAGTGGCGGCGGCCCGGAGAGAATCCGGGTGTTGGGAAAGATGGGCCGTCTGGGGGACAGCAGGGAGTCCGGGGGAAACGCAGGCGTCGGGCGCAGAGTCGGCACCGGCGTCCCCAGCCCAGCCGAAGGTCGTGGTCGGGTCTGGCCCGCGGGAGGGGCCCTGGCGCCTGACCTGCTTCGGCCCTGAGTGGGCGGCCTCGCCGGGCTCGGCAGGGGCGACGCGCGCCAAACGGCGGCGGGAAGGAGGCGGGGCAGAGCGCGCCCGGGACCCCGACTCGGACGCGGCCATCTGGGGAGGCGGAGCGCCGGGAGGAGACCTTGGCCCCGCCGCGACTGGGTGGCCCGCGCTGCCTTCCCGCGCGCCGGGCTAAAAAGGCGCTAACGCCGGCGGCCGCCTACTCCCCGCGGCGCCTCCCCTCCCCGCGCCCATATAACCCGCCTAGGGGCCGGGCCGCCCGCCCTGCCTCCCCGCCCGCGCACCCGCCCCGAGGCCTGTGCTCCCGCGAAGGGGACGCAGCGAAGCCGGGGCCCGCGCCAGGCCGGCCGGGACGGATGCCGATGCCCGGAGCTGCGACGGCTGCAGGTAGGAGGGCCGGGGCCGGGGCGCGGTTCGGCTCGGCAGGCAGGAGCTGGAGCGCAGGGCTGGGCAGGCACCTGGGCTCGCAGCTCCGAAGCTGGGAGGTGAGGGGAGGACGATCGGGGACGAGCTGGGACAAGGCGACACAGGGGCTCCCTCGGAGTTGGATCGGCCCCTGGGACTTGGCGCTCGCGAGGGGCTGGAGCGGCCAGAGTCGAGACTGCGAGGAGATGCGGGTCCTGCCCTCAGCTCCGGCCGCCTTTGGCGCCAAAGACAGCCCCGCAGGGGTTCCGGGAGGGCCCTCCTCCTGCTGTCCCCTCTCCACCCCGGGCTCCGAGGGCCGTTGGCAGGGTAACCCCGGGAAGAGGCAGGGGTGCGGGCCGCGGGTGCAGGTGGAAATCGCCAGCAAGCTCCTCCCCGCCCCCGCGCTCCCTCCGACCTGCAGGGCTGTGCCAATCCCGAGGCCTTAGTTCCCCCGAGGAGCCAGAGCCAGGCCCTCCCTGGACAGGGAGAAGGATCTGGGCGGGGGCCTTGACCCAGGGAGTTGGTTACTAAGCGGTTTCCATGGTTTTCCGAGGGACAGCTCCCTGTGGCCCTGAGTTTGTCAGTCGAGGGCTCCTGACCTGTCGCGGGATCGGTCCCAGGTAGAGAAAGCCCGGGAAGAAACGGTCCGGGCCGGCCTGGAGGGAGACACCTCCCGCCCCCTTAGCTCCTGGGCCGCTTCCTCCTGCAGCCCCTGCCTCTCCCGCTGCTGCTTGGACTGGGGAGCGATGATTACCTTCATTCAGCTTGTATTTTGGTCTGGACACTAGGAAATAAGCCCACGTAGTATGCACATGTCTGCTACATAAACAGGGACAGGTAGACCATCTTCAACTAGCAAGGGTGCAGGGAAACGCATTGCACCCCAAACTTCTGACCAGAGGTCATTTGCTTCCGAAGGTGCTGCCATCTGTTTATCCACTGTCTGGACTTTTGGAAATGGTTCAGGCTCATTAACACAATGCTTTGGTTTGTGTTGTTTTGTTTTTGTTGCTGTCGTTGCTGTTTATTTGTTCAGGCTTAGCTCTGGGGGAGGAGAAAACAAAACGCATGGCCTCTGGCGCTTACTGAGCGCTGAGCCACCCCTCTTTGGATTTATTCGGGAAAAGATTAAAAAGCATTGCATTAAGAACAGGACATGGTGTTTGAAATGTTGCCATATATGAATGTATGCATTACGTATGTAGTTTTTAAAATAAGATAAAAAGTTGGCTGGGCACAGTGGCTCACGCCTGTCATCCCTGCACTTTGGGAGGCTGAGGTGGGTGGATCACCTGAGGTCAGGAGTTTGAGACTAGCCTGGCTAACATGGTGAAACCCAGTCTCTACTTAAAATACAAAAATTAGCTGAGCGTGGTGGCAGGCACCTGTACTCCCAGCTACTCTGGAGGCTGAGGCACAAGAATTGCTTGAACCTGGGATGGAGAGGTTGCAACGAGCTGATACCACGCCACTGCACTCCAGCCTGGGCAACAGAGCAAGACTCTGTCTCAAAAAATAAGATAAAATGGCCGGGCGTGGTGGCTCACACCTGTAATCCCAGCACTTTGGGAGGCCGAGGTGGGTGGATCACGAGGTCAGGAGATCGAGACCATCCTGGCAAACACGGTGAAACCCCGTCTCTATTAAAAATACAAAAAATTAGCCGGGTGTGGTTGTGGGCACCTATAGTCCCAGCTACTCGGGAGGCTGAGGCAGGAAAATGGTGTGAACCCGGGAGGCAAAGCTTGTGATGAGCCAAGATCCCGCCACTGCACTCTAGCCTGGGCGAAAGAGCGAGACGCCGTCTCAAAAAAAAAAAAAAAAAGATAAAATAAGATAAAAAGTTGGTGCCAGAGGCTGCAGTGTGGCAGCTGCCTGTTGTCAGTCAGGGGTTGCCTGGGGTGAGTAGAAGGAGGGCCTGAGCAGGGCTTGTCTGTGCACCGCAGCCGCCCGAGAATGGCCAGGGATGTGAGCCCTGCCTTGCAGTCATTCTTGTGAAGGCTACGGTGAACAGATAGCTGTCTCCGAATCCCGAAGGCCAGTCCCATGAGAAGCTGGTCTGGCACAGTGGTTAAGGGAGTAGTGTGGAAGTCAGAATGCTGGGGTTCAAATCTCCCCTTCCCTATTTACTCCAGCAAGTCACTTAACCACTTGGAGCCTCAGGTTACCCATCTGCAGAGTAGGGTAATAGTTCCTGCCTCAGAGGCTTGGAGAACAGTCAGTGAGGTGCCATCCGAAGGGCTTGGGAGAGTGCCTGGCACCAGCTCGGTGTCCCCACATATGATGGCTTTGGGTCCCAGGCTCTGTTCCAGAGCTGGGAGAGCTAGGAGCCCTGGGGAGAGACCCGGCTCTTTAGTAGCTGGTAGCTATCTCCAGGGCAGGAGGGATGGCAGCAAGGCAGGCATCTGCCTGAGGCATGGGTGGAGGCCGATGGCATCTGTCAGAAGTATGCACTGGGGCAAGGATGCCTGGTTTAGTATTTATTTATAGGGCATGCCCCACCCAGGTCCAAGAATGGATTGATAACACTGAGCACATGTGAAATGCATAGCTCAAGTAGAGAGAAGAGAAGAGGCTGAGGTCCGAGAGAGGAGCCACACACCCACTCGAGAACGTGGACGAGGCCCTGCCCTCGCCCAACAGCGGTGTTAACCCTGAAATTCCGAGCACACCAAAGTAACATCGCAACACGGTGAACCTTGGGTTTGCAAAAAGTCAGAAAAAGTCTTCAAAACATGCTTTAAGGCCGGGCACGGTGGCCCACACCTGGAATCCCAGCACTTTGGGAGGCCGAGGTGGGTGGATCACGAGGTCAGGAGATCAAGACCATCCTGGCTAATACCGTGAAACCCCGTCTCTACTAAAAATGCAAAAAAAATTAGCCGGGTGTGGTGGCGGGTGCCTGTAGTCCCAGCTACTTGGGAGGCTGAGGCAGGAGAATGGCATGAACTCGGGAGGCAGAGCTTGCAGTGAGCCGAGATCGCACCACTGCACTCCAGCCTGGGTGACAGAGTGAGGCTCATTGGCGTTTGAGTTAAGACAGCTTATACCAAAGTGGGCTCGGATGGACATACGCATGTGCTCACAGGCTTCCTGCCTGCCCTCTGCCTGACCACTCTGTGCTCAGTATTTCTTTGCAGGCTGAACACTCGCTCATCCAAAGTGCTTTCTTTTCCTGGACAAGCTGCACATCAGAGACCCAAAGAAGAAAATGATAATCCAGCCCAACTCTTGTTTTTGAATGTCTGTAATAACTCACATTTAGCCCATGGTGGCTGTGAGCTGGTACGTGGCTAAAACGTTTACATTTTTTCCCTGTAATCCCCACAATAGCCCGTTGAGGTTATACTATAATTATGCCCATTTACAGATGAGGAAACTGAGGCTTCAACTGGCTATTCTACTTGCACAAGGTCACACAGCTGCAAAGTATGGGAGTGAGGACTCCAGCTATGACCATGAAGCTGGGCCTGGGGCTGCCAAACCATCCTTCACCTGAGTCTGCCGTTGGCTCAGGCCCACTGCAAATACAAGACACGTCCCCCAGACACCTAGAACCATGGAACATTCATCCCAGAAGGGCCCTTCCAGACCATCCAAGCCAGGGGTAGAGAGTCCAAGGTGCTGTGAGCCTGGATGGGGAAAAACGGCACCTTGTATTAACTTCAAATTTCAGCATTTCCTCCAGTTTTGAATGTAGTCAGCAAACTAGTCATAGCAGTACCTGTGACCTCACCAGTAGGAACCATTGATATTTTCACGGTGTCCGGTGACTGCTGCAGCATCTTAAAAAGTGGTTCGTGCTTGTTGCTCAGTTACAATTACGGCGGTGATTAGATCTGCTCTCAGGCTTATGACTTCATGTATGAACAAAGAAACACACATACAATCACCTCCCAATTTTGCTTTTTAAATATTAGGGTCACTTTTTTAGTTTTCTCAGGCTGCCATTACAAATGACCACAAAGTAAGTGGCTGGAAACAATGGAGAGTGTTTGTCTCACAGTTGTGGAGGCAGGAAATCTGAAGCCAGGTGGGGGCTGGGTCGGGTTCCCTCGGAGGCTTTGAGAGGGGGCTGCCTCCCTCCTAGGATCTGGGGGGCTGCCGGCCATCCTGTGGTTCCCGGGCGTGCAGATGTACCATCCAGTCTCTGCCACCGTCTTCCCATGGCCTTCTCCTCTGTGTCCCTGTATGTCTCTCCATTTCTGTCCCTTAGATGGACACCTGTCCTTGGATCGGGGGCCTACCTGGAAAATGCAGGATGATCTTATCTTGAGACCTTTACCTAAGTGGCGTCTGCAAAGACCCTGATTTCAAATAACATCACATTCTGAGGCTCGTTCCAGGAGGCTGCATCCAACCCACTAGAGCGGCTGAATTTCAGTAACTCGCCATCCTGTGTATTTTGTTTCATGTATTTAAAACATTCTTCCAGACAAGGCATCTGAGATTCCCCAGGCTCCCTGAGGGGTCGTGGTGCAAATAGGGAAGAAGCCAAGTCTAAGCCATGCCCGTCTTTTTAGGAAGAGGATCAGGAACCCGGACACTGAAGGTCAGGGTTGGGCACAGCCGAAGATGGGCAGCCCCCCTCTCCCCCAGCACCTCCTGCCTGGCGCCTCCTCCACAGCCTCTGCATCCTGGAAAACAGGCCGTTCCACGCACTCCAGCAGCTCCTCTACCTGGGAACTGCTTGGGCCATTATAGCCCCCAGTTAGGGAGAGAAACCAGACACATATTGAACAAGAAGCCCCACCAGGAGAGGCGAGACCTGGGCCCCAGCCCTGGACCTGGCCGTGGGTACTACAGAGGGTCAGGGGGCATCGGCCTGCACTGAAGGGTCTGGAGAGGCACCTCTCAGGGAGTTGGGACAGAGAGGAGACGCCGTCCCAGTGGTGACCTCCAGTGAGACCTGGAGAGACCAGATGGCAGGAAGGACTTTGCTGAGGCCAGATCGAGGGCACAGAAGGCAGGTCTCATGGAGC